TTTGCTCTGCAGACTGAATTCCTGCTGGGGTTTGCAGTCCTCTGGAAAGGCCTGTCTTTATGAGGGTTAGGGAGAAAATCAGTGGGTCCTTCTTTAAAGCCCAGAGCCTTGCACACAGTACACCTAGTCCAACACCTGTTTCTTCGCATTTGAAGCAGCTTGTTTGCCATAACCTTGGGCAGATGATTGTGCATAAAACTGGTATCTAATGTTCAGGGACATCATCTGGACCCTTTTGTAATTTATTTCAAATGTATTTATCAGGAAAATCAAATTTCGATAATGACCTCCCATCTGCTCTCAAGGATTTTCTTGTCTCTAACTCGGTTCTGATTAGAGATCTGGCTGCTGCTTCTTTTCTCTGGAAGGAGGAGACCTTCACAGCCACAGGCAGCATATGTCCCAGCAAACACCCCCTCACAGTTGTAAATCCACATGGTGGAAGGCTAGGCAGTGACATCCTATTAAGAAAAAAAAAGAAGAAAGAAAGAAAGAAAAAGTACTCAGTCTTGCCTCTTTTTGCCGCTAACTTACTAAGTGATCCTGGGCAGGTATTTAGGCCACGTTTGCCCATCTGTGTGGAGGAAGGGAGGGTGGTGCTTGAGATGGTGCCTGTGCTCTTTCCAGTTCACCTTCAAGTCTGGGTTCTTCACCTTCCAGCTTACTATGTCTGTGGTAGAGCCAGTTCAGGCCGAAGACAAAATCCCCCAAAATGCCCTAAGTCAGCAGGCACACAACCCTGGTGAGGAAAAGTGCTTGGCCCCATACTGGAAATTTTAAGACTGTTATATCAGATTGGAAGTCAATCTCCCACCCTCTGGTTCCTTCTTTAAATGAAGTTTTAAGAATTCGTTATCAAGATTCCCCTGTGGACCTCTTGGTATCATGTGCTGTTTAGAAATAATCCCACAACTTGCTTTTGAGACCTGCATCCTAAAACCAAAATAGCTCCGTGATACAGCCTCTAAGTCATCATTTATTGATTTACAGAGCACCAACCACATGATGGAGGTGCTTTACAATACAGCAAACATCACAACAGAACTCACATAGTTAAATACAATCAACAAGTTACAGAACTAAAAAAAGCTGGAATGAAGCAACATTATGTCAAATTTCAAAGATGCTGAGAAGTGGCAGGTACAAAGAAGGTAATTCCACCAACTGGAGACCAGACAGGCAAAAATAGATACACAGGCACCACAACCCAAAATGTGCAGATTGGTAGAGGGTGAAGTGAGCATATAGAATAAAATTTCACAACCGAGAATGAAGGCCATTAAAGATACCAGGACACCCAAGTGATCAGAGAACCAGTGGAATCGCCTCACAAAGAGACCGCCTTGTAATGACAAGGAAACCAATCTCACGTGGATTTTAAACTCACAGAACAGAGGCCAGAAAGCCACTGAGAGCATCCATCCCATTATGAGCACAGACTGAAATCTATAAGCCTTTACAAGAACTTGGAATCCATTTAGGAAACAGCCAACAATTCTAAAACCCATAAGACTGTATAGATGTTGTTGATAGTTGGCACAGAGTTAGGGAGAAAAATCCTTTTCCTAAAGCAGAGAGGACTCACCTCACACTAGTGATGAGGCACTGGTGGGACAAAAGCCACCTGGATCAGTGTCACCTGAGAGTGGTTTAGTATCAAACGTGGAGGCGTGGAGTTCACACTGTCAGATGAACACGGGGAAAGGCACAGGTGACGCCCCTGGCAGAGGAGAACAGGTCACACCACCTCCCGAGGCCTGTGTGTCCACATGTAGCACGCCAGGGCGCCAGGTGGAAAGGAGCATGAAGGGAGGGGCACTGGTTCCTGGCTCTCCCTTCGACTCCCCTAGATCTAGCCCCAAAACACACATGGTTACACCAAAGTACCTGCATGAAAGTGGCACTTAGAGTTCAGTAAGAGTTGTCCCTGAGTTAGTAGGTCATTTGCTGCTCCCTGAAGAGTCAAATCCCGGGTTTTAACTCAACAGATCACTAGCAGAATCACAGCAAGAGGAGAGCAAAATCCAGTCTCCGTTCTGCCACCAGCAACCATGTGAACAGTTTCTGATTGAAGAGTAAAAGGGATTGCATTCAAATCCCAGGCAGGTATGCAGTACCAGCACTTTGGGGCAACAACTTTTACAGTCTTTGAATAAAAAAAAAAAAAAAAAAAGTCACAAATGCAGTTCTTGAAGAAAACCAGCTGCGATGAATCCAATCAAACAATTTTCACATTCAGTCATTACACATTTATGGGTTTTTATAATGCTTCAGAGTAAAGAACAGACAAGGATTTAGAAAAATCACTCTCTACTGTGTCTACATCCTCAACCATTTTACTTTTGCTTAAAGAAGGACATGCAGAGTCCACAAGGATGGGTTACTTGTAGGGACCCTTTCACTCTCTGCCAAAGCATCTCTCCAAGCCCCACAGAGCAGAGACACGCCGATCCTCACAGAATCATGTCCCATCTGGTACTGTCTCCGTTTATGTCCCTTACAGGCCAACTACTACACTTCCCAATCCCAACCTCACATCCAACATAGGGGAACCCGGGCCTGCCATTAACACTGCACACGTTCACTTCGTCATTTCCTGAAGCTGTTTTAGAAAACATGATATGAAATATACTTATGCTCAAACACTAATAAAATCCAAGTGCACTATGTCAGTGACAGAATCTATATGTCAAATAGCAAAGCATTCACACCCCTGTAATGCTTTGAGATCCACATAAGAACCTAGATAGAGCCCAATACATACACTGCCATGGCCATGGGATTTTCAAGTATTAAGTCTGTTTGCATAAGGAATCAACCTGAGATTTTTCTAAACTGCACTTCTCTGGCATTCAGTATTATAACCTTCATTCAATACAATAAAAGCCAACAACTTGACAATTATTGGAAAAAAATTATATTTTGGAAGAACTCACTACATTAGGTGACAGAATTCCAAAATCAAATTACATGAAAATATACATCGCAATTTCTTTGTACAATAAGTGAGAAAAATCTGCAATATAGAAGGAACAGAGGCAAAGAAATACGGAGGGCCACGGAGAAAGGGGTGGGAGGTCAACAACGCCTGTAAGAGCAAACCCACAAGTTAAGCAGAAAGCCTGCAGCTGTGCACACTAATCCATCCAACCTGAACGCCCAGGAACGAACGGGAAGGCAAAAGCAAAACCAAACCAGAATTTTGTACTGTCTGGGGCAAGTTTCAGTAAGCTGAATTCTGAACCAACTCTTTAGTTCTCAGGGGTGACTGAGTTCAAGAGCTCTCAACAGCCAAAATGTGGTATTGCTACACCCGATTCAAGAGATGGTGCAACTAGAGTACAAAACGGCAAGCACCTAGTGATGACCACTCCTCTGAAGTCATCGTTAAAAATCAAGTAGTTGCTTATTAAGTATTTCAGTATTGGAACTAAATGATTTGAAAATTTTCTGGCAGAGAGAAGAGAGAAAAGCAAAGGGGAGTGTGTCAAAACAAAGAAGATACAAAAGTTTAGTAAGTGAAAAGAGTTTAATGAAGCCTCAATGGTTTAAAGGAAATTAAATGGAAACTTTTAATCCTAATTTTTTTTCATCTGACATGCTTTAAGGAATCTTTTAAAACTGATAAGAAACAATGAATAGGGAAAGAAAACCTGCTAAAATCTTTTAGAATTTACACGATTCTTATTCTACTACAAGAAAGCATTATTTGGTACAAGGTGTATTTGTGGATGTACATGAATAGTATATATATTATCCGGATCATGTTGTGCTATGTACAGGTCTTTACAATTCTTCCTGAAGGTTAAAACAGTTCATTAGAATTCAAAATGCGTAATCCTCTGTAAGTTGGCACTTGTTAGGCTCTTGTCAGCTCTGATACTGGCATGTTCTATTGCAGCCCAGCTCCAGCCAGTGTCCGCCAACTTGTTACAACAGAAGTCCAGCAATAGGTGGGTAGAGTGCAGGAAAAACAGTGCCATGTTTCTCAATTGGAGACCTGCGACAAAACAAACAGCATTACATAATGAATTTACAAGAGGATTAAGTGATTAGAAATTTTTATTTGTATTCTATTTCTTTGGAAACAAGTTCTTAATTTTCGTTTTAAGCTCACTTTTGTGCTCATCCAACATGGTAGCCACATAGGCCCATTTTATTTCAAATTTAAATTATAGTAAATAAAATTTACAATTTAGTTCAGGTGCTCAATATGGCTAGCCACTACCATACTGGACAGTACAGATGTAGAATATTTCTACCTATCAGCGCAGAAAGTTCTCTTGTACTTCCCTACTTTACATTGTTTTCAATATCCCAAATGTCTGTCAACTTACATTGCATCTAGAGTCAAATAGAGAAGAACTGCTTACAAGTCAAGTGATTTGGAAATTTATTAAGTATTTAAGGATATTCAGAGAAACAACGTAAGACTGCCATACTTCCCAACTTGCTGAATTTTATCCAACCCTATAGGTTCGGTCCAAACCCATTTTCTACGTGAAGCTGCCCCCAACGGACCCTCTACTCCAAGTACAGGTACTTCTATTACTTTGCATATCTGGCCAGTCTCATGCCCTCAGTCAGCCTAGAAGTCAAGAACCCATCTAAATAAAAACAACTGCTATCTTATCCAGCACTTACTATGTGCCGAGCAAGTTTACAGACTTGTCTCATGCAGTGTTCACAAGCACCACACAAAGGCGTTTCCCCCCATTGTAGAGAGAAAGTGAGATGAGGTGGCACAGCTAATAAGGGGCAGGGTTTCTTGCTCAAAAAGTGAGAAAAACACAAGGTTTAAGTTCAAAAAAAGTCTAAGTTAGGGGAGCCAGAGTGGCTCAGTCGTTAAGCGTCTGCCTTTGGCTCAGGTCATGGTCCCAGGGTCCTGGGATCGAGCCCCGCGTCAGGCTCCCTGCTCAGTGGGGAGTCTGCTTCTCCCTCTCCCACCCCCCCTGCTTGTGTTCCCTCCCTCGCTGTGGCTCCCTCTGTCAAGGAAAACAAAACAAAACAAAACAAAACAAAACAAAAAAAAACACACGCAAAAAAGTCTAAGTTAATGATTGGACTTCCCTTCAGAACTGTTACTGTTGTGTGCTCTGAGTACACAGGGGAGCAGGGAGGAGAATCCTGTTCTTCTATCAGATCCAGGTGTTCCAGAAACTCACACACCTGTTCTGTCTGCCAGGCACAGTGCTGGGCACAAAGAACCTGAACAGAAGATGACTGGAGAGTCAAAGGACATAATGTTAAGCTCCTAACAAAGAAGCCAGGCATGCTCAGAGTTAGGACAAATATTTAAGTCACACCACAGTGTGTCTTCTAAAGGCCCAAACGAATTTATCAACCTCACCATCACCCAAATTCAACCGTACCAAAGCTCTGTTGTGGGTGGAAAGCAAGCTGTGGGCCTACCCACATGTGGCCCTGCATGCGCCCATTTCCCTGACGTGGACCACCTCCGCAAAATAGCGCCTGAGAGGCAGAATGACTGCTCCATTTCCTTCCAAAGGGGTTGTGCTGGTCAATGCTCTCGGCCGCTGGCAAAGCCAGGAGCGCGCCAGAAATGCGCACATCACATTCCCCAGAAGCAAGCTCTTCCACTGGTGCACAAACACACAAAATGTGCACGGATGTTTCGGTGGAAAATCTAAAGACATTACTGAAACAAAGACACATCATTACAGAATAGGCATTATATAACTTTTAGGTGATGTTACTTGAATGTTCTTCCAAAGACTAGACCAACCACACCCAAATTAGTCCCTGGCCATTTAAGCTCTCAGGGCTGAAACAGAGCTGGGTACAGAGATTCTATAATCATTCCCCGAGGACACAAACAAGAAATTTCAGGGCCATGAAACAATCACTTTAAAAACGGTCCGTGTAAAGTTTTAAAAAGAAAAATACTCCAGAGGGGACTGACTGCTCAGTCATTAAACACCTAAAATCAGGCAACCCAGCTTTAAATAGCATTAACTTTTTCAGCAGGAATAGAAAAATCTGTTTTCTCCCATGAACAAAACGTATTCTAAACAGGGAAAAAGCCTCAGTACAGTACATTAAAAGCAAGTCTGTCAGTCTTTTCTCTAGAAAGATAAATGTGCAACTGAATCTCCCTGGTCACACCCTATTTATTTAAACTGATGGTCCTGACCTCTGACAGTCATTTATGTTTTGTAAGTGTGTCCCATTTCCAACTTAAACTACATCTACCTGTTATTAAAATCACATACATTTGATATTAATTGAAATTATATCAATTGTATGTCTTTATGAAATAACTAAGTATCTGGTTTTTTTTTACCTCAAAACTTCGTATTATTCCCAATTTTTAACCTACAAATCTGGAGATGGTTCATCTCTAAAGGACATCAGTATCTTGGTCTATTTATTTCTAAAACTAGAATCAAATCAATTTCCTATGTGGCTACACAACTCAATTTTTTTTAAAGTCTAAAAAAAAATATGTATCAGGCAAGCATGCTTCCAAATAAAAAACACTTTTGATGTTAAGGATAATAACAAAAGTAATTCCTCATTCAGGAATAAATGCCCCAGTAATCTCAACCATTCTTCACCGAGAGCAGTCCCTGCGTGTGGGGGCGCTTCCCATACCTTCCACACAGATGCCCCCGGCGCCCCTCGAGGCGGCAGCACCCCACCACCAGCCCACTCTTCTTCCGCGCCGGGGCACCCGTGACCATCCAGAGCCACTTCTTTTCTGAGGCCCAAAGCACCTCACACAGTCTGGCTCCCCTCCTGTGACCCACCAGCCCACGGGTTTGCTTCTTCCTTCTGCCCTGAAATGTGGCGACTGCGTAGGAGGTTGTCCCTGGCCCTTCTAAGTGAACCTCTGTCTCTACTCTGGGTACCCCCAGTCTCGGCCAGGGCCATTCCGTATCGGCCGTGTCTGACTGGCTAGAGCAGTCAGCGGCGTACCACATAGGACAACAACACCTGTGCAAATGGCAGGAAATGAACCAAAATCATTAACAAGAACTGAAATGTGCTCAGGGTCACCTATTCTTGGTGTCAGCTCCCACTTCAAAATACAAACCTTCATCCTTAATGATCCGCAACTGTTAGAAAGCAGACCTGTATTATCACATCGATATACACAAATCCTACTGAACTAGCAAAGTCCATGTTAAAATTTTAGAAAGTACTCTATGTCTCTGCCCGTTACTATATACACAGACACGTGCATCACTTGTGCCTGAGTGCTGCGAGGAGTCCGATTTCTGAAGACGAAGCTACTGTGTGTGTCAGTGGTCCCCTCCGGGAACAGAATTTTTGCTCACACGGAGAAGCTTCTGTTTGCAGAGCACCGTCATGCTTTGTCCCCGCAGCTGGGGACGGGAGTGAGCACAGAAGAGGGGCAGCGATAAAGAGGCGGGCAGGGAGCAGCAGCAGAGACAGAGCCCTAGCTCGCGTGGGCGAGGACGGGAGACGCCTCCAGAGGGGTGTCACCAGTGTCAAACCACACAGACTACAGGTCAAAACTACATTAAGCTGTGGATGTGGCCAACAGGCAGTTCCCACTCTCCCGGTCCGTTTACTCTCCTGCGGGGAGGGAAGAAGATGAGCCAAATGTGCTCCAAAGCAGACAGTTAAGGGGAAAAGGCAAAGCCCTCTGTTTCCCAGTGCCCTCTTCCTCCCAAAGTTAGGGACCACTGCAAATTTTATGAATTTTATGTATTTCTTCAAGTCCCTGCTTTTAAAAAAGCTCTTTACCACACAGCGAGTAGGTTGTACTTTTTAACTCAGATGAACCGTACCCTACTCGATGCTTTTTCTTTTTTGCAAATTGCTTTTCCTACTCAAGACTGTTTTTTTAAACTTAACCACCTGGTTACATATAACCAAGTCTATACTACACATGCATTTAGTTGCTGGGTAATATTCCACTGTATCAATCATAACTGATCAATCCTGCTGAGGGGCCTTTTAAAAATGACACACAGCGCTGCAAGCGGTGTACACGAGCCAGCCTGTCTCCAACCCACAGCCCGACCTCGCGGGGCAGGAGGTGTGCGGCTCAGACCACATATCGCCAACCTGCTCTGCAACGCTGACGCGCCTTCACTCATCCCGTACTTCAAGGACACCGTTTCCCCAAATCCTCACCAACATTTGGGTTTCTCAAACATTTTGATTTTTGACAATCCAGTCAATGTGATGCTACCTCCCTGTACCTTCATATTTCTGATTACAAATGCAGTTATTTTTCACATTACCTAGACAGATCATTTTCCTTTGTACTGCTTGTTTTCCCACTGATTTACACAAGCTGGTGGAGATTCTAGATACAAATCCTGAACACCAGATAGACAATCTTTCCCCAGTCTGCTGCTTGTTTTTAAGTTTATTGTCTTGTCATAATATTTACGTTTTCGGTTTTGACACAAATTTATAGATTTTTCCCTTCTCCAGGTGTTTTCTGTACCTAACAAGTCCTTCTCTATCTTGACATTCTCCCTTATTTTCTTCTAAAATAGTTGTGTTTTTCAAACTTAATCTTCTGTTCTGGGACTTACTGGAGACGGCTAACAAGGTTGGGCAGGCTGCCGGTATCAGGGGGTTGCAGTTCAACAGCCCTGCAGCAGATACGGTGGAGTGTTTCAGGAGGTCAGAAAGGCTTAACATGGCAGGAGCCTTGATGTTCAGAAGCCTGGGTGAGGTGCGGGGGCTAAGCCTTCAGTGACCCGAGCATGAAACCCACCAAGGATGCAGTCTGCTTGGGATCATCACTTACACCACACATGGTCTCGACTAAGCAGTGGAGAGAATATGCACCCCTCGCCCTGCTTGTGCTTTTCGCTTTCTCTCAAATAAATAAAATCTTTTTTTAAAAATGTTGTTTTAAGCCACAGGATTTTAGACAATTTGCAACACAGCAGTAGAGAACTAAAATAATCCCTCTAGCCTTAACGCAGAATAGTAAGATAGAGTCTTCCTGTCTGGTGGCCCAGAATGTGGTCCTGCTGCTGATCTGTGGGATGGGAGGGTTCGCCTCTACCCCGTGCCCTCTCTCCCTACCAGCCCACACCTGAATGAGAAGACAGATAAGGCTGTTGAGGTCTTTATGGAGGATGAGGTATAAATACCAAGACAAAGTGAAATAAGGAGACAAACTCCTAGACTCAGGGCCTGGGGGAGGGACTGGAGAGCTGTCCTCCAGCGGGCAGAGTGCTCCCGTCAGGCAGGAGGAAGACGTTCGAGGGGTCTGTCGTACACCAGTGTGCATATGGGCAATACTGCAATGTGCACAGAAGAACTGGGAAGAGGGCAAACCCTCATGTTTTTTTTTTACCACAGTTTTTTAAAAAGTGAACTAAATAAAGTCTGGATCAAGTTCTTGAATAGTAATACTTCCATTTTTAGAAAACACAAGTCATGGATTTGGATGTAGATTTTTTAAAACAATTTTAAATCTATTTGTGTTGAACCTCAGGAGTTTTATTTCACATCCACATCCTGTGGCATGATTAAAGCTACTGAGGACACACAGAAACAGCACGTTGACGAGTCATCAAGAGAACCAACCTTTACAAAGAGTCTGAGTGACAGGACAGCCTGGCTATACCTGCGGCAAGGCACCGGGTTTCTGTGGCCTAGCCTCATGCGTGACAACTATGTAAGGACAAGGGCATGTGAAGATCACACAGGCACCTCAATCCGACAGCAGCGTACCAAGCTCCGTGCATCGGTGGACGAGTACAACACAGACCTGCTTTTAGAAGAGATGAGTTAAGTCATAGATTTCAATGTGAATTTTTTAAAGTCCAATTTTCAAATGATTTCACTCTTAGTTAATCCAGATAGATGACTGGGCTCGGGTGCTTATCATGGCAATGTACTGTAGGTAACAAGAGTAAGAAAACACTCATCAGTGACTGCGAGTTAAGGGCTCTGAGGCTGCCAGGCTTGTGGGGGAAGAGGGGGCATCTGTTTGAAGAGCAACTGCTTCACGAGAGGAGATGGGCCTCGCCCCAGCACGTGGCGGAGCAAGGAGGAGATGCGTTCGTTCCAGAGCCCGGGCGTGGAAGCTAGCCCCCTCCCGGCCGGCACTCAAACACTTCCCGAGGGATGGGGAGATGCAGCCCAGAGAAGAGCTACAGGAACAAAGGGGGAAACGACTCATCATTTTTAACACACAACAGGTGGGACTGGGTACTTGCATGGTGGTCTAACAAGTCTGCGTTAATACGCATTAATCAGTGTTTCCCAAGGAATGTCCATCTCTGCCCACAGGTGAGCCAAAGGATCCTCCTGATGAGCTTCAAACTGACAACAAAATACTAATTCCTTTATTCAGTTCTTATCAACGAAAGACACATGCACTTCAAGGTCGATCATTTTTTACACAAAAGCCTGAGCTAGATTGGAACGACAACGAATCATTCACAAAATTGGTGTTATCAATTTTATTTAAAATTCTGCTCTGTCAAGGACTCCAGCTGCCACGTGCTCTGCAGCAGTGCGGGCCATCACCGCGTAGCTGGCGGACAGGCAACACGTGAGAAGGATGTTCTGTTACTGACTTTCCAACTACTGCTTCCTTACTCTTTAACTGGAAGTTCTCAGTTCAGTGTCACATTCACAGATCATATTTTCAACTAACCTATTCCATACAATGAGGTATTTTGAATCAACATTATTTTCTGCCTCCATCTTTTTGATGAGTGCACTTTACTCTTGAGAAGTGTACTTTATTTAAACACATGCGTATGTTATGATCCAATATAAACTAACTCTAATCCCACTAGCAAAGGAGAGAATATACAATCCCTTACAAAATTTGTTTGTGGCCCCTCATTAGTATGTATTTCATTTATTTAACTAATTTGCAATACACTATCAAGGTAAATATAATAAAATTCTTGGTTATTTCTTAAATTTATGAAGTACTACTTATGAGATGAAATCATGTGTACCCTTGGCTTCAGTATCTGCAGTTCTCTGTCGTCGCCCAACTCCCCTCTCTGACCGCGAAACCGTGTGGGTAAGAGATCCCCAGGACAAGTCACACCCGCGCAAGAACCAATGCAAAGAGCAGAGTGAACGCCGGGCACAGCGGGGGCACCCGGGACAAGCGTCCGGATGAAGTGCAGGCAGGAGAGCGCACAGTCGCAGCAGACCGAGATGTGGTCTATGAACAACGGTGGGAAGCAGGGCCACACAGGGAGACAAGGCCGGGGTTATTAACAAAACATAAGCAGGTTAGACACAGCAAGAGGGGGGGAGACAAATAATCTGAAGACCGCAGGTCGTTGCTATCCTTGATCGTAACAAAGAAGTAAGGCTGACAGCCAGCATTTCTGGTGACCGTGGGGAGATCAGAAACCAGGGACATCAAACATGGAAACAGGGCAAGTGGTGGGTAGACTCAGTCTTACTTCTGATTTGCACCTTTGCATTTGATACAGTTCATCATAAAAATAAAAAATAAAAATGAAAACAATGTGATGCTACTTTAGGGATAAGAAAAGCCAACTAATAAAACACATTAAGGTCAGAAACAGACCGACACATACCTGGAGATGTAATTTCCTAGTATAACCAACCCTGAGCATCAGTGGTGAAAGAACCTGCCAACAATCGATGCAGCCAATGGTTTTAGCCTGGGGTGTGGGCAGAGCCTCACACTGCACACCAATCAATTTCCAGAGGCTTCAACACATATACCAAAGGCAAAAACCATAAAACTTTCACAAGACAAGATGTAACAGGAGCTTTCTGGTGGCAAAGAAAAAGCTAGAACACAAAACGTAACTCCATACAGGAGAGGTCTAATCCGACTGCATTAAAATTAAGAATCTCTGTTCATCAGGGCGTCTGGGTGGCACAACTGAACGTGTGATTCTTGACGTCTGCTCAGGTCATGATCTCAGGGTCATGAGGCTGAGCCCTTTATCGGGCTCCATGCTCAGCACAGAGTCCGCTTGAGACTCTCTCCCTCTCCCTCTGCCCCCCCCCCCCGGCTCAACTGCACATGTCCCCTCTCTCAAAAAAAAAAAAAAAAAGCATCTCTGTTCATCCAGAGATTCCACAAAGAAAGGGAACTGACCAGGATACAAATCCAGAAGCTAATGGAAGAACAGCCCAAAAACAGGAATTTCCCAGGGAAAGGGCCAAACAGCTGGGCTGGCCACACACGTCAGAGCAAGGGCTCACTCCACATCCTTCCAGATGGAAACTTCATAGAGGTCTGGTGATATCAAATGCAGGGGAGGATCCAGAGTAAATGGAATCCGTATCCTTGCGAAAAGGAGCATAAATAGATGCAGAATTCTGGAGACAACTTGGCATTATCCAGTCCAAGTGATGTGCACAGACCCTTCACTCAACAATTCCAACCCCACGAACACACCCGGAAGGGCTCTCCCCACGAACATGCAGCAAGAAATGAGACAGCCACACTCACTCTGTCAGCAAACCCAAAGCAAAACACACAGATGAGAAACCTCTCCCCACATGAGAGGGTAACTGCAGTCAGAATTAAGAGCAGGACAGTGACTCATCTAATGAGGTCCCACACGACAGTGAGGACAGACGCGTACAACCAGACACAAGACAAACCGGTTTCCAGAATATAACATTGAGCAATACCAGGTCACAACGGAATGCGTCCACTGCAGTCCATGCACACACAGTGCGGCGTCCTACAGCCGTTTAGGGTAGTACAAACTGAAGAAATGATGAAGGAAAAACCGTGATAAACTCAGAACCAAGCCTATGAGAAGAGGCTGGGGCAGAAGAAGGGACACAGGGTAAAACAGGTGGCAGGAACAGGATGTACCATGACTTGTGATCCTTTACACGCTCCATGTCCTAAATAATTTTATCACCCCAACAATTAAGAAAAAATAAAAAAAGAAACCAAATAACTAAAATGTCACACATTTGGTCAGTGGCCCACACCATGTCCCCTTCCATCCTGGACTCCCTACTGGACGTAATAAAAACCTTCGGACAGATGGTATACAATACAGGGGAAATGTTTCCTATTGGCCCTATTAGTTAAGAACAGGGAGATAAAGACCAATGAAAACATGAAGGTAGGGGCGCCTGGGTGGCTCAGTCGGTGAAGCATCTGCCTTTGGCTCAGGTCATGATCTCAGGGTCCTGGGATGGAGCCCTGCATCGGGCTCCTTGCTCAGCCGGGAACCCACTTCTCCCTCTCCCTCTGTGCTCTCTCTCTCTCTCTGTCTCTCAAGTAAATAAAATCTTAAAAAAAAAAATTAAGAAAGAAGACATGGAAGATAGATGTTTAATGGTCTTGCCAGTTTATTACAAAATATGATCTTCCTTTAAAAAAAAAACCTTAGGAAGTGAAACTTCGTGTCACCCTTTACTGTGAGCCACACTGAAGCAAGTACCATCAGTGAGAAGATAGAGGTCACGCCCCCACACTGGCCAGTGAGACACAGACGTCTAGTGCAGCACAACGCACGGGGGTCACACGGTTTCTGAGAAAACAACAGACCACTGGACACTCCCACTAAAGAAATGAGGCTAGTAAAATCAGGCACTTCAAATATCCAAACCACACAACTTCCAAAAATGTATATGCCATTTATCACAAGGCAAGAGTAGGATTTTAAAATGAACTCACCCTGAAATAATGAAGTTACAGCTGTTGAATAAATGTCACTCAAAAGCAGTCTCTTGGCTTTTTCTTACACAGCGGGCAACTTTCCTTTTGAATTCTCCATTTCTGTCTTCCCTCCATTCTTTCTGTAGATACAAAAGTAACATGAAGTGACTTTATCCAAGCTCCTATTACAATCTCAAATACTAGTTTTAATCTTGAATGTAATGCTTTGGCATCATGCACACTTTTAAAATGCTGAGAAGTTGGTAAGGCTGAAAAGTTGGTAAGTCAGAAAAGTAGTCAAAAAGTATTTTTGCGAGACACTCTGCTGGGACACAAGAGCAGAAATCCCTTAACCTGTACATTCTCCGAAAGAAAGAAGTCCACAGGGCGCCTGGGTGGCTCAGTCGTTAAGAGTCTGCCTTCGGCTCAGGTCATGATCCCGGGGTCCTGGGATCGAGCCCCGCATCGGGCTCCCTGCTCAGTGGGGAGCCTGCTTCTCCCTCTCCCACTCCCCCTGCTTGTGTTCCCTCTCTCGCTGTGTCTCTGTCAAATAGGTAAATAATAAAATCTTTAAAAAAAAAAAAAAAAAAAAAAAAGGACAGTTTCATATTACTGGAAAAGGCCTTACAGGTAAGCTATTCAGGCCACGGGAAGGACTGCCGGCTCCCTCTGGAGGCTCCAGAAACTACAGCTGACACAAAGGCGAAATTTCTTCTGGAAAACCAAAAGCAGATGGCAGAGAAATGAAACATGGAGCAGAGGAGAGAAGTCTCCCTGAAACCAGAGCAAGGGAGGGACAGGGCCGACCGAACAGAAGGCACAGTTTAGACAGAGTCACTAAGATGCAGGAATGAAAACAGAGATACAACCCAGCAGTCTGGCATTTTCCTCCCACCTATATCCAAAAGTCTAACACTTTCCTGAAAGAGTGATGACCATTTCGGTACAATGAGAGACACTTCTATGAAGAGCTCTCGTAGGGCCACTAGCGTGGGGCCGAGGACGGAACCGCCTCTTGTCTGGAGCTCAGGGTCTGGCTCACTGCCCGCACACTGGAGACTGGGGCTGACGCTATGCGTGTGCACGTGCTTTCCTGGACCTGCATGTCCTGTCATCTGGAGTCATGCATGCACAGCTGTGTGGAAAGCCTACAGGGTTCTGGCACAGACTTCAAAATACAAAAGAAACACAAAGGAAAACATTGGCCTCAGAGAATGACCAGAATTTAACTTTGAAAAATTTAATTAGAACTTGCACAAGATGGAAGAACTATTAACTTCATCAAACAGCGACAAGATTTTATGAAAAAGGAAATTAATGCAGAAAAGAACAAGCTCCTTAAAATTAAGAGTAACACCACCAAAATGAGAATTCAATAGGAACTCAGAATCAGCACAAGTTTAGATGAACCAGAGTACAAGAATCAATCCGGGCAGCGGCTACAAATCCAAAGGAAGGAAGGAATATACACTCGAATAAAAAATTAATAAAAAACAAGGAGGAAAGAATACTACACATGAGGGAAACTTCCCAGAGCTGAAGTCCTGCAAGTACACACCGACCACAGGAGTCCCCCCGCTACCCCCCCAGCCACGGCTACGCTCTGTGGGCTCAGTTGCCCACAGCCGGCCCTGGTCTGTCCAGGAGCAGACGGTCCCCCTTCTGACGTAACACCAGAAGGTCAACAGGAGCCTCAGAGTCACTCGCCCTGCTTCATCTCGTCGTGCGGGCACATGGTCCCCTCACAAGGGTGGCAAGCACAGGACGCTGAGGTACTGAGACCCACAGCACACGGCTTTTATTGCAGTGTACTGTTATAACCGCTCTATTTTTAGTTATCGCTGTAATTCTCTCACTGAGCCCATAAGCTGGACTTTATCATGTGTATGTACATACAGGAAAAAACCTGATGCACATAGGATTTGGTACTGATCCCCGGTTTTAGGCATCCACTGGGGGACTCAGTAACACACCACTGATGAAGAAGGGGGAGTACTGTACAGAAGTGAAAAATCTTAAAACTCTACACAACAACGTGAAATTTTGAAGACCAAGAATCAGAAAAGAACCGGAAGGGAACAGGGAAAACAGAGGAAGAAAGAAACGGTCACCCACAAATGCAGAAGAGTCAGTCACGCATCAACTTGCTCATCGGCAACAATAAATGCGAAAAGATAAATTCTGTAGAAATCTGCATTCCTCCCCCAGAATTCTACAAACTGTCACTCAAGTATGAGGGTAGGATAAAAAACGCTCCGAGACAGGTAAGGACCCAGGTCTTAATTCCGACATAGCCTTCCTGAAACACGACTCTCAGATGAGGTACAACAACAGAAAGAAGTTAACCAAGAAAAAAGAAAGAGGGTCCAGGAAACAGACAATCCCATCCAGAAGAGCAGGAAGGGGAAGTCCAAGGGAGACAGACATGCAGCAGTCTGAGCCAACCTAATCCGGAGCCCAAGGAGGGAGGGGTCCAGGAGAGGGATGGCCAAGAAAAATGGGGGTCTCCTGGAATAGCTATCACTGACTGAGAGGTCAGAAAAGCAAACAAACAGAACACCTATGAAAACATGGCGAGGTGTACCATGCGAGAGGGAAGAGCAGATGTGAAAGGTAAATGCAACTATGAGCAACCTGTGGCTTAAACAGGAGACAACTGGTTAAATTCAGCAAGAGCAGCAGTGGATTTCAAGCAGTAATCAGTGACAATGCGTGGCCCGTGGTGTGCAGATCTGAGTCCCATCTGCATAGTTCAGCTTCGAGCAGCATCGGGCAAGGGCTGCCCTTTCTCAGGAGTCCTTGTGGTGCCAGGACTCAGCTGCTCTGAAGAGTTAATAACTTTTGCATATTCATACTTTCAGGTACTTGCTCTTAATTTATCCTTAAGTTTAACCTTTATGAAGATTAAGATACAATTTGTCAGTTCTGATCTTATTACAGAGAGTTATAGTTGAGCATGAATCAAAATAAACAAGAATTAGTTCTCCCTCAAAATGATTCCACAGGATTTCTTCTCCCCTCCCGCCTCTTACACAGTGCTTGGACCGACACTCGACTAAATAAAAAGCTAGGATGGTTTTCTGTCAATTTTTTACTTCAATTTGATCACTAAATATAGAAATGCAAAGGCATACATTTGAAAAAGGTTTATCAAAGTAGTGTTTTTCTACATAACTATATACTATCACCCAAGGTTTGTATTAGTTACCTATATAAAAGTTACCGAAATAGAAAAGTGAATTTAATCTCCTGGCTTTGATACATACTAACAAAAGTTCTAAGAATAAGAATTACAATGAAAGGTTTTTCAAAGGAGAAGGCTGAGGAACTAGGCTATTATCCAGAGTAAAGGAGACTAATAAAACATGAATACAAAATAAAATGTGGGTTCCCAGATTCTGGATTAAAAAAAAAAAAAGCAGGTATGAGGAACAATACTGGAGAAATCTGAGTATGGGCTGAGTATGCATGGAACAGTACTGAATCAATGACAGACTTGTGCTGTGGGCATGAGAAAGGGTGCCCCTGTTCTCAGGAGAGGCCACTGAAGTGTTTACACGTGGAGGGTCAGGGCATCAATAAAGACTTCTCAAACAGTTTAGGGGGGGAAATGTAAAATCGCACAACTGGTGAATCTAGGTGAAGCGTGTTTATAGCTATAGCTCCTTATTCTTAAAGGAGGCAGGTTCAAGTATTCAAGTATTCAGGGGTAAAGCTTAAGTAAGTCTGTAACTCATTTTTGTACGGATTCAGGAGAAACAAATGTATATAAATCGATCTGTAGATACACACACACACACACACACACGCACGCACGCACACACATGCTCTCATTCTAATCAAGTGTAATTAATGGGGAGGGGAGATTTGCACATGAGGGCCTTACCGCAGCATCAACGTTAGCAGGTGAGTCTCCATTAGGGTCTGCCAGCATTGAAATGACACTAATCATGATGGTTTCCACAGTGTGAATGGGGAGCCAGCGTTCCTCTGGCTTTTCATAACCATATTTATCTTCCCCAGGCTCATGAAGAATGGAAATGCATACATCACCATTTTTATCAACTGCAAAATTAGAGAGTAAGAGTCCTGTTTAAAGTATTTAAAATAACATGGTTAAACATAAAGTGCCTATTATGGACGTGGCCCTGGCTCCCACGGTCCTTTATCAAACACTGAATATATACAGAAGATGATTTCCAAAAATGGAACCTGTTCACTTTTTACGAAGCCCACAGATTTTACCAAACAGGACCCATCTGTCAGAGCCAACAGATTCTTCCCCATTTATGCAGAACTTCAAGATACCTGGCACATAGACGGTGTCTAGCATTTTACACGCAGTAAATACAATGAATCTGCTGTTTGTATATAAAGTATACGATCCAAATACCAGAACTGAGTCTCTATGTAATGATTTCCTAGACTCCTCACTAACTTGCTGATCTAAATTGGTGACAAACATCTAGAGACTCTCCTAAGAAAAAAATGAGAAGTAACCTCATAATGCACTTTTTAAATCACATAAAGGCAAAATTACATTTTCAGGAAAAGGAGTGCACCCAAATTTGCAAAAGGAACATGTCATATTGCCAGTGAAAATTCATCAACCTTAAATGACATTCATGAGGCATCTTTTCTATAAAACTAGGATTTAAAATCCAAGTCACAAATTAGTTGTTGATCAAAACAAAGGTGAACTTGGAAACCACCAGCTCATTTATATCACACAAATACTCCTTATTGGTGAAACTACCAAAATCATCACTAATCTTTTATGGTGAAATCTTTTTCTCCACTGCAAAATACAAAATAATAATAGTAAAATAAAGTATACTTATTTGGAAAATGTTAGGAAAGACAGAAAAATATAAGAATTTTTGGTGTAAAAAGTCTTTCAACCAAATGTCCAAATCCCATCAAAAAAAAAAAAAAAATCAATGGCAATATGTATGTCTATTCCATTCCTAACTTTCTACCTAAGTCTAACAGATTTTTTTAAAGATTTTATTTATTTATTTGAGAGAGAGAGCGAGCGAGCAAGCGAGAAAGCACAAGCAGGGGGAGCAGCAGAGTGAGAAGGAGAAGCAGGCTCCCCGTGGAGCTCCATCCCAGGACCCTGGGGTCATGACCTCAGCTGAAAGCAGACGCTTAAATGACTGAGCCACCCAGGCGCCCCCAGATTTGTGACTGGTATAATTCTGAAGGTTATTTTTCATCTCCTGACTTGGGCACTTCCCCTGTTGTTAAAAGCTCTGGGGAAGCCGAGCCAGAGTCTATGCATACTGCTGCTCTCCAACAAACCCTTCCTGAATGCGTGCACACGGGTGCACAAGCGCAGACGGTGACAGGTGCACTCATGCCCCAGGCCCCCACCTCCCAGTAAAATCTGCTGAGTGCAGTAACTAGATCTAGAGGCAGGAAAAGTAACAACAAACTGCAAGCACACTGCAAAGTTCAACACAAAATGCTTTTACCATCTTCTTTAATTTCCTCACGCATTACATAAAGAGGACTTTCTCCAAGTCATTTTCTTTGAAAAAATGGTATTAAATGTTTCTATAAAACTCTATCAGAGAGAATCAATTTAAGATCCATTTTCCTTTTTTGGAAATTACTGTTATAATCCAGCATCTTTAAATTTTTTACCTCGAGTCCTTTCATTTAAAACATAGTGTTTTTTTTTTAAAGATTTTATTTATTTATTCATGAGAGACGGGGGGGGAGAGAGAGAGAGAGAGAGAGAGAGAGAGAGAGAGAGAGAGAGAGAAGCAGAGGCAGAAGCAGGCTCCCAAGGAGCAGGGAGCCCGATGCGGGACTCGATCCCAGGACTCTGGGATCATGACCTGAGCCGAAGGCAGTCGCTCAACCAACTGAGCCACCCAGGCGTCCTAAACATAGTTATCTTAAATGAAAGGTTTTTAGGCTTCAGACCTATTACCAAATTACAGTTTAAAATGTGAAATACAGGTGGGACGCCTGGGTGGCTCAGCGGGTTAAGCATCCGACTCTTGGTTTCAGCTCACGTTATGATCTCAGGGTCCTGAGATCGAGCCCCATGTTGGGCTCTGTGCACAGTGGGGGCTCTGCTAGAGATTCTCTCCCTCTCTCACTAAAATAAATAAATAAATCTTTAAATTAAAAAGGTGAAAAGTAACCTGGTTTTTCCTAAATGTTTTTGGGGCTGAAGTTTCTCCAGGTATAGAAAATACACGTTATTTCCTCTGGTGCAATATCCGTTCTTACTCTTTACTCATTTATACACACAAATGTCTAGTTTTTTCTTGCCAAATTGCGTCCTCAGTTTTCCCCACATAAGTTTTTCCTCTCGCTTTCACGCCCCAACAGTGATCTTCGCTGCCGCCCTTACTGACGTGAGGTTCATTTACAAACCTTATTCTGCATTCAGTTGCACCATTTATCTTCACTCTGTTTAGTCTTTCGGGATGGGTTATGTGTGAAACTAGAAAATTCTTGCCCCCAACACCCAGCAAATAACTGATACTATTTTTTTAAAGCCACTTGAAACTGTTTACTCCATTTGGAGTTTTAATCCCCTTTTCTAAATCCACTCCCCCATACACGGCTAGCCACCAGCCTCGGCCTCGACTACCCAAACCACATGTACCCTCCCAGTTACCCCCTCCCTGGAAGCTGTGTGTCTAAAGTGACAGAAACCCAACTGACCCCCACCCTCTCCAATGCCCAGAAGGTGGGTTCCCCCTCCCTCTCTCTCTCTCTCTCTCTCTCTCTCTCTCCTCTCCTCTCCTCTCCTTACTGGAAACTGGCTTCTGCTCCCTATCAGGATGCCACGACTGCTCACAAAATGGCCTGAACAACCTTCTCCCGGGTGCTTTTAAGTCCCCCTTTCTGGGTCACAATGAGGGACACTGTTGAGGACAACTCCCTCGGCCCCCGCGGCACACTTCTTCACTGGCTCTTGAGCCGATCTCTCACCTTCCAGTCTTCCTTAGTCGGACTTGGGACACTACACGATGCTACCCCACTCTCTGGCATTAGCCGTCTTTTCCGTGGGGAGGTTCACTCACTCTTCCCATCACAATGTTGCCCGTCCCCCGTCCCCCCCGTTTTGCTGAGCTGTAACTGACAGAGAACATGGTATAAGGTGAAGGCGCAGCACACGGTGATTTCATACACGCTCCCGCTCACCTTGATGCGGATCAGTACCAAGGCCCTACACTCACCTTTACCTAACTATCTAAGTGGAAGTGGCAAGTATACCTCAAGAAAAACAAATCCAAAACGGAACGCATCTAAGCCGCACAAAGCGAATTTTTAGCTCAGAACAGCATCTCTGACAGCTGTACTGAGACAGAGGTGCACAATTAATGGCTTCTCGCATGTTTACAGAGTTGTAAACTGTTGCCACAATCAATTTCAGAATACACGCATCACCCCAGAAAGAAACCACATACGCATTAGCAATCACCCCCCGTTCCCCACAACCTTCCCGCGAGCCTGAGGCAAGCACGAACCCAACCTTCTATCTCTAGGTTTGCCGATTCTGACAGTCCAACCTAAACGGAGTCCTACACGGTGTGGGCTTCTGGGACTGGGTTCGCTCCCCAAGTGTCATGTTTCCAAGGCTCATCCTGGCGGTGACGTGAGCCGGGGCTGCCCTCCATAATGTGTATATATTAAGAGCGGGTCTTCTCCTCATCAAATGATGGACCCTGGGGCTGTTTCTACTGTTTGACCATTATGAACACTGCTGACAGGAACATCCAAGGACAAGTGTTCTGTGGACGTGTTTTCAACGTTCTTGCTTTTCTATCTCAGAACAGAACCGCCAGACTCGTTCCCCACAGTGGGTGCACCACTTTACCATCTCGCCAGCAGTACAGGAGGGCTCGAATTTCTGTGTCCTTGCCAACACTTGTTTATCATCCGCCTTTTTGATGACAGCCACCCGGCCCATGTAAAGTGGTATTTTGCTGTGGTTTTGATGCTACAGTTGTTTGGTGGATGTTCTGTCAATTCTAAATTCTCATCTCCATCACACCGTCCACATCTGCTAGTCCACAAATGAGAGTAACTCAATTTCCCTTCCTGCTACGACTCTCCCCGTTCACGCTTCCACGGTCTCTTATCCGCAGCACTGACGAAACCCTCTCCGTGTCTCCTGGTGGCCGGTCTGGCTTTCCCTTCCAATCTTTCCTCCACGGGTGTCACCTTTCCAGAAGGAGACACAGTCAATATGAAGCTACCACACAGCTTTAAAGTGCCAGAATTTAATGAGAAACCACAGCCTAAGGAACAAAGTTTAAGCCAGGCGTTCACACAAAGTTCTGTGTAAGAATCACATTGTCTGGAAAGGCCTCCCCGACCCTCTCTTCCACTACCCAACACCATGTGGCAGCAACACTGTCCTCTCAACATCACCGTGACTTCTGCGTGTCCGTTCCTCCCCCTCGCAGGCCCGGACGCCCTCACAGGAAGGGACTGTGACGGACGAATCATCTTCACCTCCTGCGCCTTGCAGACACTCCCAGCTGGGTTTTCCGTTCGTCCCATGTCTTCGCACGCCTCCTGAGTCCCGCTCTCCCTGTGCCTGCCATCCCTGCCCCACCACCTCCTCAGGTTCCCTTCCTTCACAAAGCCTCTCCTCTCTCCAGTCAAGTCTTCATTACTTCACTGATGCCTCTCCCCTCATGGCCTGAAAAATGATTCAGCCTTAAAACAAATCCTCATCTCATGAGCTGTCCTCTTAAACCACCCAGGCCATTTTTCTCCTTCCTCCCCAAAGAAGAGAAGTCCCACGTGTTGCTCACATACGTGCTCTCACAGAGAAACTGAGGCCCACAGAGGCTCCACCTACAGCCACACAGCTAACGTGTGGTGACGCCAACACTCAGAAGCTCCGTCACATCTTCTTTTGAAATAGGTGCAAACAAATACCTCAAGTGACGGGTAAGAGAGACTGCCAAAGCCTAGGAAGAGAGGAAACAAACAGCAAAGCAAGAAGAGGCGAATGCAGTAGATTTAGGCATCCGTGCTCCATGGAGGACTATCGTTAACATGTTCTACCACAGACAGCGGAGATACTGCTCTTCCTCGGCACCGATACGAGGGGGCACAAGAACGGGGCCAGTTCCGGTCTCTCAAGACCCGTCCATTTCTCAAGCCACTGGGCTCTACTACATTCTCCACACCCTGTAATGAAGCCTCACTCGCTCGCTCACTCGCTCACTCACTCCTCTCTCACAGACTTGCTCGGACTAACACAGAAGCCTCTCTCCCTGGCAATGCGAAGTTGACTGTGAGAAGCAGAATGCAGGAGAGCACAGGAGTCAAAAAACGACAACTCTGATTACAAAATACTTACAGTCAAAATACTTAGGGAGAGAAATGCTTACAAAAGCTCTATCACAAAAAACAAGGCCAAAAGTTCAGGGAGACTGTGTACACACACAGTTTATCTAGCCTAACCTTTGACTCACAAAGTGGATTTTAAATGGTAGCACATCTTTGGGTAAAGAAAATTCAGAGTCACCACATCTCAGGCACAGCAGGACTGGATGCTTTCCAAGCTTCAAACACAAAGTACAGCATCCAATGTCACCGAGTCAGTCACCTTCTGAGGCAGGCAGGACACTCCCTTTTTAACAGCTAATATAGGTAACAAGTTAAGAGCTGCCCGTGGCCTAAGAGTGAAGATGAGAAATACAATTTTTAAAACCAGGTTTAGTTACTCCTGTACTCTCCGTAATAGACAACGAGTCACCTAATACCTTGGAAATGATCTCGACTGTAAGAGCTGTATTCATGGCAAGTATCACCCAATAACCTTGCCTCTAGTCTGGAACATCAGGAGTCTCAAAAAGAGCTGAAAACTAAGTAAGTATTTTTTATATGATGTCTATGCCTGCTGTTCTAAACAAGCTAATACATGGCCAAATACATAATGAACACAGTGAACTTAGTACAAAAATCCCAAAGTAACTTCATTGAGGACCACATCTTTCTTAGGGACCCTGAAAACCTCAGTGACAGGCATCATATTAGCAAATGTAAAAGTAAAACTAGATAAACTTACCATTTGGGTGCCAGATTTCTGTAATGAATTTCATTTTAGGAGGCCGGAGGGGATAATCTTTTGGGAAAGTGAGATGAGCCTTAAAAACACCACCTTCACTGGAAGAAAAACAAAAACATGTTCTTGCCTGTAAATTCCTGCATATCAACAATTATTAAAACAAACATAAAGCAAGGGTGCGAGCGCTCACACTATAAATGAAGTGAATTAATAACCTGGATCTCAAGCAGATCGTCTGCACACTCAGTTTAATAGCCTGGCAACACCCACGACTTTACCGAGCTCCCGAGAAGCTAGGAAATGAAAGAAACAGCCGGCCTTAAACCGGCATCCGCATCAGATCCCATGACTGTTGTGCTAAACGACCTGTATCACTTCCCATGGCACTAATCTAAGTCCAGAGGCTAACTGCCCATCAGCTCTCCGTGTGGATCTCCAACTACCACCCTTCCCTCCATCCCAGCCCGTCTCCTTTCTGTTCTGCAAGCACAATAAGCTCTTTCTCACTCAGAACTTACACATAATTTGTTTGCTCCCTGTGTGGAAAGATGTGCTGACCTTCCAGTCATCCATTCATCTCATCCTTTAACAAATATTTCTTCAGCCTTTACATGTCAGACACTAGCAGTGAACGAGGTATAAAGTCTCTCAAGGAGTTTATACTCCAGTGACTTTCCAAAGTAGTGCCGTCCAACAGGGCTTCCTGCACACTGGAGACGCTCTATAGGCATACTGTCCAAGATGGCAGCCACTAGGCCCTTGAAATATGGCTGGTGCAACTGAGGAACTGAGTTTTTCATTTTTTTTAAAGATTTATTTATTTATTTGAGAGAGAGCAAGCGCACAAGGGGAGGGGCAAAGGGAAAGGGAGAGAGACATTCTCAAGCGGACGCCACTGAGCACAGAGCCCGACGTGGGACTCGATCTCATGACCCTGAGATCATGACCTGAGCTTAAACCAAGAGCCAGTCATTCAACCGACTGCACCACCCAGGTGCCCCTGAACTTTTAATTTTATTTAATTTAACAGCACATATGGCCAGTAACTGCTGTATTAGTGCAGTCTTAGATCAGTGCCATTTACTTAGGAACTGTTCTTGAAGGACTGTCAAAACAGTACAATGAGTTGTACTATGTTAACATCAAAAACCAATGAGATCAAGTCAGCCTCATGGGGCATATAACTAAGCTCATGCATTATGTCGTTAGTACTAGCCATTTTCTGTGCTTGAAATACCCTTCTCCCCTTGTCATCATTTAGAACTCAGCTTTGGGGCACCTGGGTGGCTCAGTCGGTGAAGCGTCTGCCTTTGGCTCAGGTCATGATCTCGGGGTCCTGGGGTCGAGCCCCGCGTCGGGCTCCCTGCAGAGCGGGGAGTCTGCTTCTCCCTCTCCCGCTGCCCCTCCCCTGCTCGTGCTCACTCGCTCACTTGTATTACATAAATAAGATCTTAAAAAAAACAAAAAACAAAAAACTTAGTTTCAACGTTACCTCTTGAGACTTCCCTTGACTCCCCAATCTTAACTCTCTGCTGTGTCCCTCTGGTACACTGACCCCCTTTCATTTCTTTATTCCAACATCTATTTGCACATCTGATTCTTTTACTGTTCAGTGTACACTCCATCAGAGCAGGGTCATGTGCTGATGTTTGTGTCAGACCAGCGAGAAATGGAATTCTCAGCTCCTTAAATGGTTTCCATTCACTGAACAAATATACATTGACTACCTACTTGTGTGAGGCACTGTTTTACATAAAATAATCAAACAGAAAACGACATTAGAGATCACTGGTTTCACAAGCACTTACCATTTTGGTGGCAGAAGAAACTATCAAGCAAAATATCACTAATAGCTACTGGAATGATATGAGCAATCTAATATTAAATTTTTAAAAAACCAAGTATGTATAGAATAAGCCCATTTGTCCTTAAGAAAGAAAAATGGGGGTATGCTTCTAATACAGACAGAAAACCTTCTGCAAACACAGCCCCAGTACATAGCAGTGGTTAACTTTGGAGCCAGGATTACGGGGATCTTTTCCTTTCTGCTTTGTACATTTCAATATAGACTGAATTTTTAACCACAAGCAAGTATTAATTTTTATTGCCTTTTTCTGAGCATAAAGGATTTGGGAGGGGGGGAGAAGGGGGTACTTAAAAACAGAGAGGCAGATCATTAATACCAAATACCTCTGAATACCTAGGGAAGGCCAATGGGCTCCCAGCACACAGGGTAACTGTGGTAACACCACTGTGGTAAAAGCAACAGGAGAAGGCCACACAGGGTGAAAGAGAGAATGGGGTGGTCAAGGACAAGCATGATGACAATTTAAAAAGTTTGACAGTTAAAGAAGAGGATAATTAGATGGGGAAACAGCACAAATGCAAGGCTTTAAAAAGGAGGGGGGAAAAAATACCCTAATTTGTTTACAAGGAGATGGGAAGGTGCTGGTAGAAAGACTAGAGACACTAGAAAAAGAACTGAGCCATTGGAAGAAGAAAGAAAGTAAGGGGAGCGAGGGGCCTCGCCAAGAAAAAGAAAGAACATCTTTTCCTTTTGCACTGGAAGAAAAACAGACTGAATGCGGTACAGATATCCAGGGGTAAAAAGGAAGAAAAATGACAAGTTTTATACCTGCCATATGGCCTCCATTTCGTAATTTACAGAATGATTTACGGAAGAGGAAAACCTGGAGACTTGAGGGAGACGCTGGGAAGGACGCACCACGCTGGCGGGCACCTTCTTGCCCCAGCTAACCCAACTGTGAGGGTTAATGCCACAGTGGCCCTGGGACCGTCAATTGTACAGACTCGCTTTTCAAACTGCGGGTGACTCACTAACCAGTTTTCTTGTTTAACAAAAATCGAGAAGAAAACAAGACGCTGTCACAGGTAGTCTGTTTGACTTATGTAATCTGCATATGCATGTTTCTACTCACTAAAATGTATGCACATAATAGTCTACATCAGGTCAGGATGTAGAACACTTCTGATGATGGCTTGTGGTGGAAAAAAGCCACAAACACAGAAAACAGCTAAGAATCTACGTAATAGGACATCAAAAGAGCTGCCACAGGCCCTCGCACTTCACCCGCTGGTAACACTGCTCCTCGGTTGGAAGCAGCCTCCCTGGGTCCCTTCATCTCGACGGATTTGATCCACCTCGTGTTAGCTGACTGGAATCCCTGTCCTCAAAAACTGCCTCCGTCTCTTAAATTATTTTCAATCTTTAAAATGTCAAATTTTATTAACAGAATTATCTCAAAGGGTTTAAAGCACACAATTTTCACTCTGTCTACAGCGCCCTCCCCACTCTGAACCAATCACGTTATTCCGTACAGTTTTTCTCCTATCAGTGGACTCCTTAACATTTCTTTCACCTGGGGAAGCCTACCTGTTTTTTTAAACCGAGCTCAGTGGTCCCACCCCTGTGGGTGGCAAGCTTCCAGTGAACAGCCAAATTAGCAAAGAGGAGTGCAAAACCCCCAGGATATGAAATATTGTAAACTAAACATTAATATGTCACATATTCACTATTTTTCAAATATGCAAAGACGTTACTGTGATGAGTAAAATGAGTTTATAATAAAAATAAAATAAAAAGCACCTGTGAATTAAAAATATCTTCCACTACTCTCATCACAATACTAATAGTACAATTATCAGCATGACGTTAAAAGGTGTGAAACCAAAAGTTTCACACTTGAAAAGGTTGAGAAACCTAAGCCTAGTTCAACTTTCTTCCATGAGCCTCACTTACTGTTTTTGTATTAAACTGCAAGAATCTTACAACGACCAGATCCTACCATTCTGCCATATTTACTTTATTTAAATGATCCATTGTATGCTGCCACCTCAAACTTTGCTCAACATTGTTCTTTTAAAAATATTCCTGGTGATACCTGTTTCTTGTCCATTCATTTTATCTGACGCATTTCACAATCTATTTATCACACTCGTAAGACATTTGATTGCTTTCCATTTCTTTGCTACTACATGCAACAGAACACTGAACACCCCAAACACTTCCTGGCGTAGGGTTTCTACCCTAAAGACAAAACTGCTAAGACAAACTTTGAGTTATTGGTCGAAGTCACACAGCTCATACAAGTGGTAGAGTTGGGGAGCTGCGCAAAGGCCCCAGAGCCCATGCTCTGAAGCACTGAACGGGAAGGGATGTGGCCTGGCTGCCGATGCATCACTTGCTAAGCAATGGCGGTACAAGGTTCCTTCCTTCCAAATTCTCGTTACAGAATATATGGCATGTGCTTCCAAGTCTTAGGCAGAACTGTAAGAGGATTTTGTTACTGTGAAATAATATTAACCAGAGTTTGGCTAACCGACTCTACGTGTTCTGTAGCCACTCAAGGAAAGGCAAAACAATAAAATGCATATGATCCTGATATTCTCCATATTTTCCACACCCTTGTCAGTGGTAAGGAATAAAATAAACCATACTTCCTGGACAGACTAGCCATTGATGATGAAAGAAAAATTTAAGGGATAAAAGAAGGTGCACATTCACCATTCACTAATACGAATTTATAAAATTTGTAATTACATGGTGATATCCGAGGCTCCTGAACTTCCTTGAAAAACATGCTGCCGCTCTTGCCTGAAATGTCCATTTCTGTGGACACTACCTGATAATCAGCGAGAACACAACAGGTACACACACCAGTTTCAGCTCTCACAGACAGACAGCCTGGACAATCTATTCTTAATAGATTGATGGGCAGAGGAGTAATAAACATTTAATACCATGTAAAGATAAATATAATGGCTACATTCATACTCATGGCAATGCTCAGTGTGCAAGCAAGCTGGAATACACTGGTTATTGATTACCTAAACTGAAGAGGGTACAGTGCCCTCTAGTGACTGCATGAAGGCTAAGGATGCCACAGGCAGGAACACAACAGCTTTCCAGGAATGTTTGTACATTATTAATTCTTGCTATCACTACATAAATGATCGAACTATTAAGCGGTGAATTAATCAGTTAGGTCTGGGTACCATCTAAGCCCACATTAACTTTCACTTACTTCTAACCCCAACCCCCCCTTTCCCACCCCCCCTTTGGGCAGGGATTTCCACTTGAGGTCTGCGCACCCCCACCCAACAGACCCCTCCAACAACTGCAACACAGCCTCTACCCTCTTCACAGCACTCAAGGAACTACAAGGACCCCAGTAATTTCCTTACTGTTAAAGCAACACACACCATGAAGTACTGGATTCACCATGAAACAGGGAGCTTACTTCTCATCACACTTTCCTCTCCTTCTCTCCTCTGAGCTCATCTGCCCAGCCCTCCTCAGGGACCCGCGCTCAGCACACACTCTCCTCCTCTATCCCGAGCAAAGGCTGTGTGTGCAACTCCGTCCTGCAGGTCGCCATGCTCAGCCCCCAGCGCATCTTTTTCACTACAGACAAACTTTTAGAATAACACTGTTACGAACAAATTTTTGTTGCAGAGATAAAATGCAAGTAAGCTGAAGGAAAATGAAATCCATAATCCCAGTTAGGATACGCAGGTTGTAAAACAGGAACCTAACTGGTGACTCCTGTCCTCAATGGTTGTGAAGACAAATCCAAACTCTCCAAAAGTGTTTATGAACTTCAAGGACCCCTCCACTCCCTGTTCAGCCTCATTTTCTGACCTTCCATGTCCTCACCTCACTCCACCACCACACCGTGGAGCCGTCCCGTTTTCTGGGCCCCCCGGTCCCTGTCAGAACACCTGTCCGGTTAATGCTGACCCTAGCTGCTAACAGCTCGAAATCTCTTCCATTCCAGAAGAACTAATCTAAACCAACTGCAGCCACCTCATTCATCTTGCCAGTTACTGGGTGGGAAGGAGCAAGTGACTCGATTCTGACACAGGAGACAAGAGCCAGTCAGCCGGAGAGCTCCCCTTGCATACAACACACACAGAACTAAGAAGAAACCAGCCTCTCTTCCTTTGGGTGATCTTCTGAAACGCTCAAAACTCCTGTAACCATTTTGCTACCAGTGCCAGGACAACATACTTTCTTATTCTCTAAGCCAGCTACAGTCAGATTTCTGTTGCTTGTAACCAGAAGTCTACCAACTACTACACTTACTAACTCTTAAGTTCCCACTTTAGATAGGTCTTCCTCTGGGACAAGTTCTGATACATCCCAAACCTGCCACACCCCCAGAGAGCGCCCCTCTCCACCATGGCCATCACTAGTCAAGCGACTATGCAGTGACTAAAGTGTAACCTCTCTGTAGGCAGGGACGACACTGAGCTAATCCGAGGTCGTGTTCCCGGCATCTAACATAAGACCGCTTGGAAACAGCTGAGCTAGATGAATGAGCAATGTAAATGCCAGTGTAATGCTTTATTTTTGCAACCATTCTAAGCAGGAAATTGCCCAAGGGATGGCTTAGACTCAGTAAATATTAAAGAATAAATCTTAAACCTCTTTTTTTGAGGGCTTAAAAAAAATCCCATAACTTTCACACATGAATTTTAGAAAAGATTTTAACAAGAAGGAATCATTTCCAGGTTATTCTGGATGATGATTACAATGTCTGTCAATGCCACAAGGCCTCATTACTCACAGGATGCTCCCCGTGTGTGGCAGAGTTTAATAACTACAGCCCAGCTGTCCCATCAGGAAGGACTGCAAGTGGCCACCAGCTGTCTCCTCAGGAAGTCCACACTCTAGAGGAGCTGCCACAAAGGCTTGCTTCTGCTACCCACATCTCACACCAGTAGCTAGCATTTTTTAAATGTACACTGAAGACCAGAAGTAAGTTTTTAATTGGTGGAAAGAATGGACTATTAATCAGTATGGCGAGTATTAAAAAGTGGTTGTCTTTGGTGAAGTTGAAGGTACACATTAAATACAGGTACCAGCTAACAGCCTTTGGAGATACGTGCCACCACCTCACGAGAAAGTATGAGAGTTCTGTGAGGTCCTTAGAGACAGAGCTCAGGCCTGGAAGCCCAACTCATCCTCCAGACAGACACCAGTTCAGAAGAATTCCTCCTGTTACCTCCTATCAACTGTAGGAGTAACAAGATTCTGTCACTGGAATGTCGCCACGTCTCCCAAATAAAACTTCATGCAATGCATTTAGCTTGAAAACCTGAACTTCATCAGGCTTATAAACCAGATTTATATGTATGGTTTTACGTGCAAAATTTAGTAAGAAATTTGCTTTCAAGTAATATTAAGGTTGTGGGGGGATACCTCAAAGATGGTTTTCAACAGCTCCTATTATCTACCCAAACACACACCATGGAATGACCAAATTGAGTTATTTTAGTTTGCAACCATCACCAATACAAACATGGCACTGAGAGATACATCAGCAAAAATTCTGATTGGAAACAATCGTGACAAAACATGAATCACCTTTCCGGACGCTCGAAAACCCGAAGTCCACACCACAACTCACCCTGTATGTCCCGTACCAGCCTGCCCTGGTACCAAGTAGCCTGAATTTTCTTTTCCATCAGGTGTTTTATTGGGGCGGGGGGGGAATTCCCATCTCTGAACACCTAAAATGAAACTACGGTATCAAAATCCTTGCCTGCTTAGGGCCATCAAGGACCACAGCTGAGTGAGCAAGTGTAGTCCCCAAGAAACTCAGATACAGATCTGCCCCCTCAGGTGTGTGGAGCACACTGGTGACCTGAAAAGGTCACTGCATTCTGTTCAATGCCTCCACTTCTACAAACACGATGGAACTTACACTAGTCACTAACACCAGGTAGTCACGACCCATCTTACAGAACACTGAATATCTGTAAGTTTAAGTTAGTCTGCAAACATTCAGAGCAGAAAATAAGACTGTGGTTTTTGAACCTAAAATGTATGACAAGACCCTGAGGAAACCCCAGCTCTCTCTCTATTGCTCTTTGACTCAACTGCATTCTGTTGTCTAACTTTACATCAGTTAATAAGGACTAATTAAAAGAGATTAGCTGTTTCATGGAACACTACATCAAAAACTAATGATGTAATATATGGTGATTAACATAACATAATAAAATTTAAAAAAAGGGATTAGCTGTAACAATCACTTTTATAAACTGGGAAAAGGTAAATATCAGTTCATTTTAGGGTCAGAACACCATGGTTCGGATCCGTATTCTGTGGGCACCCGATTAAAGCAGCACTCAAATTGATGACCTTGAGAGTTCTCAAGCCTGGAGACACTGGTGTGTGAAACTGTTCTGTATGAAAATCTCCCAGGTGTAATACTATGCTTTAATTAAACCGATAAAGTGCTAAGAATGGAAAAGACTTCTCTTTGAAATGACAATGTTCCCTTTGGGGGTGAAGGCACAGTAAAGCACAAGGGAAGGGAAGGGGAGAAACATTTCAATAAAGAATTTTCTTCTTCCCCCATCCTGCCAAAATTAACCCAATATCCAAAACCACGTAAAAAAATACATTATTTATATATAGGCTCACCTTGAAAATAGCTTGTATTTCTGAAACTATTATATATTTAAGAAAGCAACAGGTTTTAGACACTAGAATTTCAAGCAAAACACAAAAACCCTAGACACGATCATTTAGTACAAATGATTTCACCTAAACACAGCCATTTCACCTGCTTTAAAAAATAATTTCACTTCAGTTTGCCAAAGCAGTTTCCATTTGAATTAATTAAGAGAGCTACTTCAGTGTCCGTTCCATGGTACTTACTAAAGTGTGTCAGGGGGACCAATGATAAGGACTTCCCACCGGTAAAGATCATTGTCATCTATTAAACCTGCTGAAAAGCCTTCCACTGGATTTTTGTTGAGTTCTGTGGAAAAAAAAAATTTTTTTGATCAAAACTTTTAGGCATATAATTTTCACCCAACAGATAAATTACAGAACCTGAATATACATGTTATAAATTCCAAACTATTCAGCAGATATCCCTGGGTCCACTAGCAAAATGCTACCTGATGGCCAAAACATTTCCATTTCTGTATCACAGGGACGTGACATGGAAGCGAACTGTCCAGGAGACCACGTTCTAACCCCTCTCACTTCCACCCTGGTTTCCAGCTAGGCTCTTAGCCTTTCTAGGTAGCCCTACGGTGGTAGACAGAACTCGCTAAGACGCAGATATCCAGGCCCAGCCCTCACAGACCGTGGCCCACAGGTAAGTCAAACCAGTACTCCCAGTCATTCCTACACTGTGGTCTTTAGGGTACACTCTCAGAAGCACCAGCCGAAGACCTGAATACCTTTTTGTTGGAATTTGCTGAGCTTAGCCAACCTTCATTTATACCCGTGTGTGTCTGTGTAACAAGCCCTCTGTCACCTTGGGGATACACATCTACAGCTGCTGTTCCTCAGACTCAGCAAGGAGGGCAGACCCCTCGTGTCTTGCCTGTGTGTGTTGACCCCGTTGCCAGCCAAGTTTCCAGCACACAGGAGTGGCTTGACAGTAATAGCGAGAGGCGCGCCCCGCTGACTCAGTCGGAAGAGCGTGCAACTCCTGATCTCAGGGTCCTGGGTTCGAGCCCTACGTGGGGTGCAGAGATCACTTAATAAATTTTTTTTTGGAAGGACTAGGAAGAGGAGGGAAGAGGAGGGGAGAGGGGGGAGGGAGAGGGAGGAGGAGGGTGGGGGGGGAAGAAGATGGAAGAGGAAAAGAACAGCTGGAGCCTACAGGAATGGCAGTGGCATCATGAGAACTTTTCCTCCAGAGAGAGTGTGCTCTGGCATGGATGGAAAATGATGGAAGCAAAGAGCTCGTGGGAGGGGTGGGGGAGACGCAGGCCAACCAGGGAGCCTAGTGACCAGGTCAGGGGTGCAGTCTGACGGTTCCTAGACACCCAGGGCTTAATAATGACCTACTGATGGTGGGTCTTACATACAGATTTTTTAAAACAGCTGTTTAATGAGGTATAATTGACATTCAGTGAACTGCACGTATTTAAATTAGAAAACTTGATACATATTAATACACAAACAGGCCTGTGAAGCAATCAACACTCTCATGGTAGTAAATACACACACACACACGCTGCAAACAGAAATCAGCAAAAGGGAGGTCGAACAGGGAGCACTGACTGGCTCCAACTGAGAAGTGGGAAGTGGGGGCCAAGCACTGGAGAGACAGCAGTCCGGGAGGGATGTGCTGGGGGCCTGAACAGGTGTGTGATTCTCACATGCTTCCTGCCATCAGCCTCAAAGAGTTCAGTCTAATGATAAAAGCAAGCGAAATGCAACCCAGAGTGCGTTTATAGAGGACTGAATGAAGTGTGTTAGTAACGGAGAAGATCTTAATTTTTTGAGGGATGAGGAGATGCTGTCATTTCAACAGCTAGGTTTTAACACCCCAACATACCAGTGAAACACAGAGCCTAAAGGCAAATTTTATTTATATTTAAATACGAATGGCTTTTCTCAAAAGTTGTCTAAATTTTTGCCTAAAAGGCAACATAGACCTATCTAATGTTTTAAATCAGTACTGTATTTCAAAATGCAAGAAATGTATTTTTAAATAGCTAGTCTAAGACATTTTTAAAAGGATACTGAAAATGGAAAGACATGAAGATAAGAACTGCATTTTGTTTCTCCCTGAGCTGCCAGCATGCATGCGGGGAGGGCAGGGCGCGGGGAGGGCACCCCGAGCCCTACCCCCCCAGTCCACCAGGGCGGGGCGGAGCACAGACCACCGAAGGTAAGGGCAATCAAGTTCTTTTTCTAGACGCACATTATCATATTTCTCAGACCATCTTCTTCGACACTGTATTCAAGTCTTGGGAAGATCCTATAATTCATCCAGAAAATCACCCTCTTTGCTGCATTTTCCATCAGAAGTCCAGTGGAGTTTTATAAATGGAGGTGGGTAAGTTCTGCAATTAGCATATATGGTCAAAATTATCCTTGAGAATTCCCTTACCTGTCCCAGAAAACACATCACTGCTTCTCACTTCTGTCAATACACCGTAATTTCTAAAACTCTTCTGCACATTGTCTCCACGCTTTTCTTCTACAGGAGTGATTATGTCTACTGCTTGTAAGTAACACAAAAGCAACACTGAAGATAGCCGATATCTCACTTTTGTCTGGCTTCTGCCCCTAGCAGGGGTCCCCCAGGGCCTGGACCCACAGGTATTTGACAAACTGATACCACACCTTCAGGAATGTTTCCCTTTCCCATGAGGTCTTCCCTAAATAATTTACCAAATAATCGTCTTCTGACTTCTGCTACGTTTCCAGTAATTGTACTTCCAGTCTGTACTCTAGCCCTGACACTCAACTCCTGTGGAATCTCAGCCCCTGATTCCCATGGAAGTAAACAGGCAAGTACCATGTGTGGTGAATGCTCCAACAGCAGTACAGTAATTTGGAGGGCCCAAAGAAGGGCACCTTATAATCATGAAGAGACAGAAAAGAGCTTCTAAAAAGAGAGGAGACATCGGAAAAAAGACAAAGGATTTGGATGGTTGCTGCAAGGTTTAGACAGAGGAGCCTATACAAGAACTTGAAACATGGAGATCAGGAGCTGGCCAGAACAAAGGGGGGCATGCAGCCGAGAGCAGACAGAAGGTCAGAAGCTGGGCAGCAAAGGGCCTTTGTAAGCCCTGCATCCAGAGGGCAATGACAAGCCTTTGAAGGGTTTGTGTTTTGTTTTGTTTTTAAAACAATGAGGTGACCGTGAGATTCACATTTTAAAAAACAAATCTTGCAGAGCATGAAAGATGACACAGAACAAGGCCATGGTGACAACAAAGAAACCAAAAAGGAAGCCATAAAGGTAATCCTGGAAAGTGTACCTTTAGTAGGATGCCACTGAGAATAACGATGGGAAACAAGGACATTTGGGGAAAGAATCAACCAACCAAACTTGGTGATGTGAGGGTTAAAATGACACAGATTTCCTCAAAAAGTTAAACACAAAGTTACCATATAACCCAATAATTCACTCTTAGGTATATACCCAAGAGAAAGGAAGACATCCACCTGTCCACATAAAAGCTCTACAAAAATGTTTATGTATCAGCATTACTTGTAGTGGTCCAAAGGTGGAAACAAGTTGAACCTCCGGGGGTAAACAAATTATGGAGTATGTGCACAATGAGTATGACTCAACCACAGAAAGGAACGAAGTACTGGTATAAGCAACAACCTAGATGAACCTCGAAATCACTAGGCTCAGTGAAAGAAACCAGACACCTAAGGCCACATATTGCAGGACTCCACTTATAGGACACATCCAGAAAAGGCAAATCCACAAAGACAGAAAACAGAACAGAGTTGCCAACAGATGGGGAAACGGGATATGGCCATGGTGGGTGTCTGTGGGGTGAAGAAAAGTGGTTTGCCCAACACTGTGAATACACTCCATACATTGAACTGTACACTTTTAAAAAGCTACTTCTATGTCATTTTAATTTCATATCAAATTTTAAAAATAACACACAGGTTTCTCTGCAGAGCAACTGGGTAGAAGTCTGTTCATTCTCAGAAATGGGACATACAGGAATGAGACAGGGAAACTGGAGGACTCCATAAAACCCTGCTTTTTGCTTTTTTCCCCACTTCTATTCTAGCAAGAACAGACCTGCACTCCCACCTCACACAGGCCTCAGGATGCAGACAGTGTGTGTCCTCCTTGTAAGGGATAAGAAGTCAGTGATTTCTCTGGGACAGATAACACCTAAGGAACGATCAGGTGAAAATGACTGGACGAAGCCATCAAATGCATACTTCAGACCACCGGCACCAGACAACGGGATGCCAGGGCCCGCTGGCTCCAAGGAATAACGACCCCCGTCTTTGTTCTAACCTGTTCCTGGATGCACAATCAATAAAACCTCCAGCCCCAAAGACGGGACCCTCCTTTCTAAGTCTCCCAGACACTCACTCTGTCGGCACCTGCACACCTCTATCCCTTCAATAAACCCCCCTTGCCCCTCCTGCTGGCTCACACTGTATTTCTGACACCACAGCCTGCCAGCATCAGGAAGATGTGATCTGAGGGATGAGGGAGAGAAACGATGACAGGGTTAATGTTTCAGACAGAAAGGCCATGAGCCAAGAGCGGGGTGGGGAGGGGGGCAGACGGCAGAGGGAGAGAATCTCAAGTAGGCTCCACGCTCAGCAGGGAGCCCGACGCGGGGCTCGACCTCACGACCCTGAGATCACGACCTGAGCCGAAGTCAAGAGTCAGACGCTTCACCGACGAAGCCACCCAGGCGCCCCTGATGGTATAGGTCTACTTTAAAAAACCTATGGACATAAATACACTGTTTCCTGTTTTTAATTCTTAGCTAAAGAGAGAGACTCGGAGGGTTATCAGAATACTGCTGATAACTGCAGTCCTTAAGACTGATGGCGTCACCCAAAGATGAGCGTGAAGCATGACCCTATACAGAGGACCTAACGGAATGGATTCTAGAGAATACCAATATTTTGAGGACTTAAAAAAAAAGGGGGGTCACAAAGGTGACTAAGAACAGGAAGACAGAGAAGTAGGAAGTAACCCCAGAAAAAATTACATCAAAGAAGCCAACGGAGAAAGTTGCCCACAATAATAAACAGACACTACTCAGGAAAAAGGAGGTCTCAAATCAACCCAGCAAGTTCAGAAGAAAGGCCAAGGGTGCCCCCGGCATCTGGGTTCAGTGAATGGCAAGTCAGGGGCCATGCAGGCAGCACTGAGTTGACAAAAAGGTGAAGGAGAAAAACACAAGTGGAAACCTTTTCTAGAGTCTGTGGATTGAGAAGTGTAGTAGCCATATGAAGATAAAATTCCAGCAGGTTTTTTAATGGAAGAGGCCAAAGAAAAATGTTTAAACA